GTTCGTAATTTCGCAACGTTGTCGCAAAGACGTGACGGAACTTAGGAAAATGCGACTTCTTCTTCTATCTATGCTGTGGAACGTCCCCTTTCCCAATATCACGCGCGACCGATTTCGCAACGCAAGCATGACTCGATTTATCACGGAACAGAGGGTTCCGCTTGTCGGGGTCTAATATAGGTGCATTCCATCCAACTTCCCAGCCTCGCTGGCGATCGATCTCGCAACGAGACCAGGACGCGACTCCTCGTCGACGACCACCGAGACCGACCTGGAATTCTCGCGATTTCGCGCGCGGTTCTTCTCGGCTGGTCCACGTCGCATCGTTCGTCGCATGACGATACCAGACGATACCGAACGATAAACCCTACGTTATAAAGGTTACGCCAGCAGCGGGACCACTCACCTTAACGAAATGCAGGTTCTCCTTGTCGAGGAGGAACTCCATGGACTTGTGGGGCCGCTGGTGGATGGCGGACGTTGCGGCGGACGCGACGTCGTCGCGGGGGCTCCTGTGCGTAACGCCGACGGGCGACTGGGGTACGTGGAGGGCGTGCTCGGGCCGCGGCCGCGGCGCCGCCGCCGAGGTGTGGTTGAGGTCGAGCAGGCTGCGGGTCTTCTTACCACCGGCGCCGGCGGTGGCAGCGGCGGCGGCGGCGGCGGCGGTGGCAGCGGCGGCGGCGGTGGCGGCGGCGGCAGCGGAGACAGCGGTCGGGCCAGCGGTGTACGTCGTGCCGTTGTAGCTCGTGCTGATCACCGCCTCGTCGAGGTCGGTCTCCAGTAGGCCGACCGGGCGCTCCTGGGCGGCCTGCATCGCGCGGGCCTTCGCCATCTCGATCGCCGCCGGGTTACCAAGGTCCGTGGCGGCGCGTCGGCGCGACGCCGACGCCGACGCCGACGCCGACGCTCGCGTCGACATGCCCAGAGCGGCGACGCGTGGCGGTTGCGGTGGCAGGGGCGGCTTGCTGGACACTGGTGCCCTCCCGTTGCTGCTGCAACAATGAACAGATAGATACTCTTCGAGATAGTCGACTTGATCGGTGGTTGAGGAGGTAAAGGGAAGCTTTAGCGATAACGCGGGTAGTTTGACTTAATACGAACTGCCGATCGGAAATTTCGCCGCGCCACGACCAGGATCGCGAATCTAGGAAGAAGCTGAAGAGCGGAAGAACGGAAGAGCTTGGTACATGATGGGCGAACGAAACCAGTCAGCGAACACGACTGGTCTTGCACAACGTCGCGCGCCACACCGATGTTACGCGGGATAATTGGATATCGGTGGATTACATCAGTTTTATAAGAGTATAACCTTGATATGTGCATTTTGGTGGGGAAGCTCGTGAACTGATGTTACGTGTTGCAATTTTATGATAACTTAACTCATAATGAAAATCTATAAATCTCTGCGGAGTAACGCATTTCGTACATTTCTCACCCCAACTCTCGAATTCCACGCGTGACACAAGAAAATAAAGATCCCTTTTTTATTCATGACTTGTTCGTTCGTCGCAATTAAAGACCGTTTTTTTTCGCGTACTTTACCGCGGCTCTCATGGAGGATAATTGGTTCATTAAACTGACGCATTATCCGACCACGTTAAAAGCAAGTCATGCTGCACGAGGCTCATATATAGCATCACAGTTCAGATTAGTGGTGCCGAACGAGAGCGTTTTTGTTCCGTGAACACGACGCTATTGTGACGCGATAATTGGAAATTGGCGCTCAAGCATATTTTACGCTGTCGCAACATCATCGGCTTTCGATAGCGGACAGTTGGCGGCTGAGTGATGTGCCCTCTTTTTTTTTTGGTCATCCTCTTGACCGAAATCGGGGATATTAACCCCTCGCCTTCGGTATCCCGCTTAATCTAATTATTGCTCCGACGAGGCTGATATATCATTATCTGATTGAAACATCATGAAAGGTTGATACATCGTAGAAAGCTAATCGCAGTAAATTTGCCAACAAGTATATATCCTTAACTTTGTGTTATTAAAATATCAATTTTATAAGGTTGACCGTCGACCACTACTTTTGAAACATTAATCATGAATTAAAGATCGTTGTGATTACAACAACTTTTACACGCGATAAATTACATTCGACTTTCGCTTTTCCACTTCCGATTTATGGAGTCCGGATTCGCGAGAGACAGTGGTCGCTTTATTGAGTCTGCTATACGGCGGACATGCGGCGTACCGATAAAAGCACGACTATATATCTCGGCGAAGGGAGCGACAGTCATTAATGAGACACTTTCTATCCGCCATCCGCCGTGAGTACAGCCTCCTAGATAAGAAGCTGGATACAGCGAGCTACTATTCCGAGCTCCTCGAGATCTCGTTATATTACGAACGAGCACGAGGCTGCGATCTCTGTTGTGAAGCTGTCAGGCGGCTGTAATCTGTTACAGCCGGATGATCTTTGACCGCGAGTTTTACGCGATTACAGAATAATCAGCACCAAGCTCGTTTTAGTATGCCCGTTTAGAAGTATAATTCGATTATGAGTTTGATTAACGAGTTGTTGCGAATTAAGTTCGCCTGGAGTACATTATAAAGTATCTATATACGTGCAATGTGCGAAGAGTGCCCCAGATCCATCGTATCTTTCCTATCCGAAGTGTGACACTTGAGAATTGAGTTACACCATCGAGCCTCATTAATAATAAGAGTTATAATCTTCAGGAGAGCCGAGACGACTCGCGAAGCGAGACGCAAACGAACTTACGATACGGAAGCCTCATTCACACGTGATCCAACGACGCGTTGCAACGCAGTCGTCGGTTTTATTATCGCCGCATAGCGTGAGATCACGTTTATAATCATGTTTATAACGCGGCCCACAACGATGGGGAATCATCGGTTTCTAAAATTAGTATACGACCGATCGTAAAAACAGTGACGGATTTCTGGGCTCCGAGAACGAGCTGAGAACTCGTGCCCCCCCCCGGGCGATATACTTTCCCGATTTCGGCAGATGTCGACGCTTAGCCTGATATCGAAGCCGCAGTAACGATGTCTAATATACGGACAAGTAAACAAAATAAAAGAGTTAGTAACATTCCACGCGAACAGCAGGCAATGACGCTCGAAAAAGAAAATTATACACAAGACGTCGTGCTTTTATCGACATTAATTGGTACTAATAAGATTTGGTATTTCTCGTGAGTTATATTATAAAATAAATTGCAATGAAGCGTCGGGTTTAGCGGAGGTTTAATCCGCGCGAGACGCGGCCTTGCGATACGACGTAATAACCCGTCCCGACGACGACGGAACGCAGCTGGAAGCCGCGCTGGAATGAGCGCGGGAGCGAGCTTAATTGCGCCGTCGTTAAAGAGTCAGCTAAATGGTAGTGTTTGTTGCGTTTTCAAGGCGGCGGAATAAAGGGGAGAGGGCAAATATAGGCGGGCACGGAAAAAAAACCCGGGATAAAGATAAGAGGCGGAACTGGAGAACACTGCTGGTCCTTTTACGCGACGACGAGAAGAAGGGAGCAAAAAGTCCGAGGAGGGGACAGAAACCCTGCGATTAAAAGTCCCGAACGTGACGTTGAACCCGTCTCCGTACGCGACTTCCGGACTCTCTCGAACCGGAATGGAATAAGATTAATATAAGTTGATTCTCTGACCGGCACTATACACCTACACACGTGCAAGGTGTATATTTGCAAGGTGTATATTTAACTGCGGCATGAGACGAGCGAGCGAGCCTCGAGTTTGCGTCGCAACTATAAGTCGAGGTATTTAGGGATAGCGAAATATTTTTGTCATTCTCGTTAAATATTTTGAAAGACTAGAAAATAAAAGAAAAAGATAATTAAAAAACTAAAATAAATTATCAATTCCAGTCATTTTCCGTTTTTTTTTTTCAATTAAAATCATAAAAAAATATTATTTGAAAGTTAAACAAAAAAATAATTAAATATAATTAAATAACGACATAACTCCTGTCGGTTTAATTGCGCGACATATGATAAATTACGAATAAAAAAGTGGTTACATAAGTTAATACCGAGCAGCCGGATGCTGGAAAATTATGAATTTTCTAAAGAAAAATTCACCGACTGGACGTTGCGCGATATTTTGCATACTTTTGCATAACTAACTTCAATTATATATATCCTCGCATCCTCGCCAGAGAAGCTCGACTCGCAGACTCCAGCTCCGCTTGCGAAAACTCGAATGGCGGCGGCATCCTAAATTACATCCCGCAGCTTACGACGATGATTCATCGTCCCTAAACGCGAGCGAACGGGCGTGGGATACCGGCCGCATTCTGTTTAACATCTCGTCAAACAAACCGAGAAACGCAGCCGCCGAAAATCTCCGGCGTAGCGTAAATGAGGTAATCGTTCGTCGAAGTGTGTTACAAGAACGAAGAAATAAAATTCGAAATAGAAGTCCGTTATGCAAGCTCATGAAAAAAAGATGTCATAAATCGAAGATGGTTACACAATCTTTAAATAAATTATAAATAAACATTAACAAATCAATATTACCGAGTTGCAATACTTGAGGAACCGTTGACAGGATGATTATAAATCAATAGATCTTAATTTATGAGTTTATTATAATAGTCATCAATTATTTACGAGGCGAAAGCTACTGACAAAAAATACGTGAAAAGAATTTTCGAGAATTAATCTTAACTTAAACAAATAATTTTTAGAAATATTCTCTACACAATCTAATAAAACGCATAATGTTCGCGTTTTGCGTGCAAATCAGAAGTCAATTGAACGTGCCGACGAAAAGACAGCGAAGCTGTTTCGCGTGTGGAAAATACAAGCCGCTCTCCTCTTTCTTCTCGATGAAACTTTTTCGGCGCAGCACGAATCGAAACGAAAGACGCTGCTTCGGCGAAATCTAACGCGATAAAGCAAATGTTTGTTAAAGCCGAAGGAGGGCAGAGGGA